GATTAAAACATACCTCTGCTGCTGCCTTGTGCTTTAGTAGTTCGTTCATTGGATTTCGGAACAAATTTCCTCCAGCAGCCTCCTGCTCGTCCTGCAAAACGAAATAATTTTTTTGACATTCTTCCAAAACTACACTCCGCTTGCTTTGTAATAACTGAAAAATCCGGGACATTTCCGTACAGAGTACAAGTGGAGCGAGGCATATAGCTGCACTCGGTGCAAAACTACATCTCAGTAGCACCGGCGGTCCAAACTCACATTTCCTAACACGAAGCAATCTTGTGCTCCGCCCGCTTACCGAATCATCTAGTCCCGCGCTTCTCAATCTGGAGTCCGCGGCGCCCCTCAAAATTTCAGCTTTCAGTCTTTTCTGGTCATCGAGATAGCAATTTTCTCGCCAAAAATTTTGGCGAGACCGTAAGTGAGGACCACACATATCCCGGACTAAATTTGAAAACTTAAGTTGTAGGTGGGCTAGGAACATTCCATTAAAATTTCAGCCTCCCAGCTTCCCTGATTCTCGAGTAAGCGATTTCCTGCCAGAAACTTTCACGGTGTCGTACGAGAGAACCGGGCAAAACTGAGGGCTGAATTTGAAATTTTTGAGTTCTATACGGACGGGGAACATAACCGCAAGATTCCAGCTTTCTAGCTTTTCTGGTTCCTGAATTAGCAATTTTCCTGTCAAAACTTTTACGTGCTCGTACACAGGGCTTGGGAGTGCGTGAGGGTTGATACCGTGGTTCTTGGGCGGCACTTGGCCGGGGAACCCACTGGCAAAATTTGGCGTCGGCGCTTGCTTGTTGCCGAATTGAAATACCCGGACACACACCCACACACACACGCACGCACACACACATACACACACCGGTGTCGTCACAATACGTGTCTTTGCATCTGCATATATGCAAAAACGCATAATGAACATGCGAAGGAATGGAGAGGAAAATAGGAAAAAAAAGATAATCCAAAATAAAAAATATGGGCCGATGTTTTAAAAAAGTATCTGTAAGAGCATATGAACGAAATATTCAAAGCTTACTTCCGCCCTCCCCCCCCCCCCCCCCCCCCCCCCCCC